GGGGGGGGGGGGGGGGGGGGGGGGGCGGGCAGCAGGGCGAGGGAGAAGGCCCAGGGCCTGCCCCCAGGGTCTCTGTCCTGCTGGCTCGTTTCTCACCTCCCTCCCCGCCTTGGGCTCTACGTGTCGCACAGGGAACTGGTTCCAGATGGTGTCGGCCCAGGAGCGCCTGACGCGCACCTTCACGCGCAGCAGCCACACGTACACCCGCACAGAGCGCACGGAGATCAGCAAGACTCGGGGCGGGGAGACCAAGCGTGAGGTGCGGGTGGAGGAGTCCACCCAGGTTGGCGGAGACCCCTTCCCCGCCGTCTTCGGGGACTTCCTGGGCCGGGAACGCCTGGGCTCTTTTGGCAGCATCACCCGGCAGCAGGAGGGTGAGTGGGGCGGGGCTGGGGTCTTCACAGGGAGGCTGGGGTCTCCGTCCCTCGGGACAAGAGGGGGAGGCTGTTGGTCTGAGTGGAGGAGGGGGTTTTACTGACGGAGGGAGGGAAGGGCCAGGGCCAGGAGCAGCCCCCGTGTCGCCCTGACACTCCCCACCTGCTGCAGGTGAGGCCAGCTCTCAGGACATGACCGCACAGGTGACCAGCCCGTCAGGCAAGACGGAAGCCGCAGAGATCGTGGAGGGGGAGGACAGCGCGTACAGTGTGCGCTTTGTGCCCCAGGAGATGGGGCCCCACACGGTCACTGTCAAGTACCGCGGCCAGCATGTGCCAGGCAGCCCCTTTCAGTTCACCGTGGGGCCACTGGGTGAAGGCGGTGCCCATAAGGTGCGAGCTGGAGGCACAGGGCTGGAGCGAGGGGTGGCCGGCGTGCCAGGTAAGGGGCAGGGGGCCAGGACGGGGGGCGGGGGCAGGGCAGCCACCAGGGCGGACGATGGTGCTGAGGAGCCGCCCCTGTCCCGTTTCCATCTCCAGCCGAGTTCAGCATCTGGACCCGAGAAGCGGGTGCCGGGGGCCTGTCTATTGCTGTGGAGGGTCCCAGCAAGGCGGAGATTGCGTTTGAGGACCGCAAAGATGGCTCCTGTGGGGTCTCCTATGTTGTGCAGGAACCAGGTGGGTGTCCACCACGGGGCTGGGCCTGCCTGACCTTCCGGACTGGGTTTCTGCTCGCCCAGGCAGGAGATGGGGCTACTGAACCAACTCTTCACCTGGGCTGCCGCTCTTTCTCTGCCCTGTCTCCCTCCACCCCACACTCCTGGGAATGCACGTCTGTCTCCAGAGCTGAGCCCCGACCCAGGAGCTTGTTCTGGGATGACGCCAGGGTGGAGGGGGTTCCACCCTGCTGTCCCCAGTCCTGGGGCCTGTGCTGACTGGCCTTCCCTCCCCAGGTGACTATGAAGTCTCCATCAAGTTCAACGACGAGCACATCCCAGACAGCCCTTTTGTGGTACCTGTGGCCTCCCTCTCAGACGATGCTCGCCGTCTCACTGTCACTAGCCTCCAGGTGTGTGCCTGGGGGCCCCTCTGCCACCCTGAGAGATGGGCAGAAGTAGAGGATGGCAGGCCCATGTGGCCAGGGACTTAGCGGGGACCTTGAAAGGTCCAGACAGACAGACGTCCCCTCTCTCCCAGTGTCTGTACAGCAGGGGGCTCCATTCCCCCTTCTAGCTGCCCCTCAGGAGCCCTTGTACCTCTCCTCCCCCGTCCCCTACCCCTACTCTAGAACTGGGCTCTGTGCCCCAATCTTCACCTCCCCTGGGAGCCTCCCCATCGGCCCACCTCCCCCATCGAGTGCCCCCAGGGCAGTCTAGGCCACACCCCTCCTTCCTCATCCCAGCTACTGAGTGTTTGCAGTCCACACACAGCACCGTCCTAGCACTGGCTTCCCTGCTGACAGGCCTGCTTTACAGTTTCTGGGTCTTACCTCCTCAACCAGCACAGGGCACATCATGTGTCGTCCCCACCATGCCCAGTCACAGCCAGGTGGCCCCACCTCATAGCAGGTGGATGCCAAGGCCACAGACCCAGCCTCCACCTCCCATCACAGCCCTGTTCAGAGCCTCCCTGAGCTAGGCTGGGCGTGCAGTGAGATCAGTGCCGGGCTGCAGAGACGAGCCCTCCAGACCCTCCCAGGAGTCTGAGCACCCTCTGTGGCCTCTGCAGGAGACGGGGCTCAAGGTGAACCAGCCGGCGTCCTTTGCGGTGCAGCTGAACGGTGCACGGGGCGTGATAGATGCTAGGGTGCACACGCCCTCGGGTGCGGTGGAGGAGTGCTACGTCTCCGAGCTGGACAGTGGTGAGCTGGCCCTCTCCCTGCCAGGCTGGCACTTTCTGGGAAGGGGAGGGAAGGACAAAGGCTCACCCACCAACATCTGACCCACAGACAAGCACACCATCCGTTTCATCCCCCATGAGAATGGCGTCCACTCCATTGACGTCAAGTTCAACGGTGCCCACATCCCTGGCAGTCCCTTCAAGATCCGAGTTGGGGAGCAGAGCCAGGCTGGGGACCCAGGCTTGGTGTCAGCCTATGGTCCTGGGCTCGAGGGAGGCACTACAGGTGAGTGCCTGGGGCTGGGAAGGAGGGGTGGACATTGGTCTGCCCCAGAGGCGGGGCAGCGCTGATGAGCCCGAGTCCCAGCACAGACCCACTCCGGGGAGCCTGGGCCCATCCCAGTTCTGGGCCCCAAGCCCTTCCTGTCTACACCCTTGCTACCTCTGGTCCCCAGGAGTGTCATCGGAGTTCATCGTCAACACCTTGAATGCGGGCTCGGGGGCCTTGTCTGTCACCATCGACGGCCCCTCCAAGGTGCAGCTGGACTGTCGGGAATGTCCTGAGGGCCACGTGGTCACTTACACTCCCATGGCCCCTGGCAGCTACCTCATTGCCATCAAGTATGGTGGCCCCCAGCACATTGTGGGCAGCCCCTTCAAGGCCAAAGTCACAGGTGAGTGTCCTGGGTGGGGGAAGGTCCCTCCAGCCCATTCCATACTGGCTGGCTCCAGTGGCCATTCACATCCAGGTCATGTGCCCCAAACATTGGGGTCAGGTTACCAGGAATAAAGTGGGCCCGGCTTTACACATCACCCCATTCTCCACGTGGACTCATGTACATCATTTAAAAAAATCAAATCCTTCCTCTTTATTGTCCATCACTTGACTAATCTTTTCCCTGCGGTAGCTCCCCAAGCTTTCACTTAACTTTCTGCCCTCCCCTTCCCACATTTCTGGCTTCCAAGAAGACAGAGCTCAGTAAAGATTCAGCCAGCTTTCCTTTTGGAAGCTGCGTGAAGGATTAGTTGGATACATGTTCCTTTTTAAAGCAGGACACTACCCTGTGACTTGGGGTCCCGGGCAAAGCCCAGAAGTTGGGAGGGAGCCATCGAGGCTCCAGACCTCGAGATAAGCCTGCCCCGGAGCCCTGTTTGGAACGGGCTGCCCCTCCTAGCATGCTGCATCTGAGGAAGGGAACGCGGGGCTGTCGGTGCTGGCACACGGCCTACCGCCTGGGGAAGAGCAGGCCTCTGACTAGGCTCGTGGCCACCCACTCTGCCTCTCAGGTCCCCGGCTGTCTGGAGGCCACAGCCTTCACGAAACATCCACGGTCCTGGTGGAGACTGTGACCAAGTCGTCCTCAAGTCGGGGTTCCAGCTATAGCTCCATCCCCAAGTTCTCCTCAGATGCCAGCAAGGTGGTGACACGGGGCCCTGGGCTGTCCCAGGCCTTTGTGGGCCAGAAGAACTCCTTCACCGTGGACTGCAGCAAAGCAGGCAGGCAGCGGGGGGAAAGGGGGCAGACCCCCAGGGTGGGCAGGTGCACGGGAACGTGGGCCCAAGGGCCTGGGGTGAGCCTGTCCCTCGCTCCCTCTCTCTCCAGGCACCAACATGATGATGGTGGGTGTGCACGGGCCCAAGACCCCCTGTGAGGAGGTGTATGTGAAGCACATGGGGAACCGGGTGTACAACGTCACCTACACCGTCAAGGAGAAAGGGGACTATATCCTCATCGTCAAGTGGGGCGACGAAAGTGTCCCTGGAAGCCCCTTCAAAGTCAATGTGCCCTGAATCCCAGAAGTGCCTCCCCCAGCCTCGGCCCCCACCTCTGGCCAAACACACTCACAGACACACACACACAAATAGGCCACCACACCCAGATGCACGCACGGGAATCAAGACACCACAAACACCTGCCCTGGGGGTGGAAGGAGTGGCACTGCCCCACTCCCTGCCCCCCCCACCCCGGGTTGGAAGGCCTCGTCCGTCTCAGGGCAGTGTCCCTGCCTCAGACGTGACATGAGGGCGAACTGGAGGTTGGGGGGCCAGGGAAGCCCTGAGTTTTCTGGCGGGGCTGAGGCCAGTGGGGGAGCACATGTCTGGGGGTGTCTGCATGTGTGAGAGAGGTCGCCCTCAAACCACACTGCCAGCGGGGGCTCCTTGCCGCTGAGGACTGCATCCGGCCCCTCTGGTGGCCACAACCCCAGAGCGTTAAGGACTTGGAAGAGAAAGCACAATCGCAGGAGAAAATGGACCCAGCAGCAGCAGGCTTGGTGCATGTCCTGGCCCCGAGCAATTGAGATCCCAGCCAGGCTTCCTGGGGGACTGATTTCTCTCTTTTTTTTTTTTAAGATTGCACAGCTCTGCCCCATGGGGGGGCCTTTTTTTTACACACTGCGAGGCCCAGCTTTCTGGGGGGCTTTTGCACATGTCACGCGGCTCAGCTGGGAGCCGTTTAGGTGGAAAACAAATAAAGTGCGGCCTGTCGCAGAGGCCTGGCTGTTCCTTGTGTGTGTGCTCCCCACGGCTGGCCACCAGGCCCTGGGAGGCAGAGGCTGGCTGCCTCTCCCCTGGAGGACTGAGTCAGGTCAAGGGGGAGGGCCTGGGGCAGAGAGCGGCCCCCTCTGGGCCATCTGTTTGGGAAGGCCTGGAATGTTGACAGAATGCTTGAAAGAAGGGGCTGGTGGGGGCATGCCAGGGGCATGCCAGGGATGTGGGCTTGGTCCTCAGATTCCTGGAGAGCTGGTGGGTGGGAGAGGGAGATGGACACTGTGTTCTAGAAGACTGCCCTAGGACCACCAGGGGGCCAGTTTCCACTCAGCCTGATCTCAAGGACGTTCTCAAAATTTTTAGGACCTTAAAACAGCACTGGCTCAAGCAGGAA